ATATTTCAATATTTGTAATATTATTATATTTATATTTATACTATTATATTATTTATTATCTTAATGATAATTTATGAGTTCTTTTTATTATCACTATTTTAATACAAATTTTTGTTTAATCAAACATAAAAAGTAATATAAAAATATTTTTGTTTATTTTAAATTATATTCAAGAATATGCAAGTATATATTTAAATTTATAATCTTAGATAATTTTTTATCTATTTATTTTAATTAAATATATTAAGTAAATTTGTAGAAAATTTTATAATTATCAAAAATTAAAATTAGACAATATTTATTAAATTTTTAAATATATAAGAAATTAATAATTTTACCATTAAATTTTAATAATTTTCAAAAAATTATACATTTTTGAAATTTTTGTAATAAAATTGTATAGTTTTAAAATATATAATTAAATGATATTTTCGAAATTTTTAATGTCCTATTGTTATATATTTATTTTAATGATGATTTATTAGTTATTAGCATATTTTAAAAATATTTCCAAAAATATAAATTGACATTAAATGTAATATATGAGTTGTTACCATATTCTATAAAGTTTTCCAAAAATATATATTAACATTAAATGTAATTGTCCATATCACATTTAATCATATGCTATGTCATCAATTCTATGAGACATGTCACCATTTTTTTGTGAAAGTGATTCTAGAGAGGACATATGGCAAAATCACTTCATAAATAATGTATAGGGGATTGGTTCCTTTGTGCCATGTCGGTCCAAACTTTTTTTTTTCAAACTATTTCTTGTACGGAGTATTATCTATATTATTAAAAGAGAAGTACCTATATAAAATATCCCTGAATTTTTCTAATTATTTACAATGTTATTCCACTGAAGTTATTAATTACCCTATCTTATAGGATTCTTTGTCTTTTTACTTTAATTAATGCATTTCCAAAATCAAATTTTAACTAAAAAATTTTGGCAACAATAATTAATGAAAATAATTATTTTCATATATACCTTTCGTAATTAAATAAATAAATTATATAGAAATTTTTTTACTAATTCCATATACATAATAATTAATTCCAATATTAATTACCTACCTTTTAGGATTTTTTTCTTATTAATTATCTACATATCTTTAAATAGTTAATGAAAAATATTTTTTTCAAAGATATATAATTATATTTTTATTAGTTATAAGTAATAACTAAAATAAAAGTCACAAAAAGAAACATTTATATAATATATAATAAAAAAGATTAATATAAACATATCATGTTATGTATATTTTTATATAAATAATAGTTCAAGGTAAATTCAGAATAATAAAAGATAAAAAGTAGAAATATATAGGACCATATATTTTAAATAGTAAATAAAACAATTTAGTTGTACATTATCATAAAATTTTGATCCATAATAATAAAATAAAAACATTTGTGCAGATATACGTGTCATATTTTTAAAATAAGTATGACACACTGATAGTTTATAAGATAAAATAAAATTACTTAATATAAACTTAAAATTGTGTGTTTAAAATGTCATTTTAAACAATTATTTGAACGGGTAAATTTAGAAATATATATTATCACTTATAAAATATATAAAAACAAACACTTGCGCGGATCAAATAGCAAACTTTTTAGTATTTTTATGTCAAAATTAAACCCATAAGTAATTTGTAACCATTTAATTGATACTTCATTTTTATTTTATATCATTTAGTATAAACCTAAAAATTAAAAGAAAACAAAACACCCGCCCAGTCTGGTCTAGTTTATTCTTTAAAGAGGAATGTAAAAGTTAACTCAATGTCTGGAGAAGATTATGGACATAAAGTCTGACATTTCCACCGTAATCAAAAAATTATAATTCCACCGTTATAAAACAAACTTCGGATTTTTCCGAGCCATATATGACTTTTTCTTTACCCTTTGAAAATGGCCAGCCTTTTCCCTCCTAGACGGGGGCTTCTACACATTCCTTCGAGTATGTCTGAGACATGATGTGGATGGCCTATGCGAAAGCTTCTCTCTCTATTTCTGTCTCCGTTATGAACTTGACATTATCCGAGTTGAGGTGGATTTTATGGCCAACGCTAAGGCCCTCATCCATTACACTCTACTCGCATTATACCGGATCAATCATCCTACCCCGAATATATATAATTAAATGACTAAAAATAAAAGGAACAACAGCTCAAGTCTGACGTCAACTTGGTTCTTAACCAATTGGTTTGTACTTAATACTATGAGTAACAGTATATAAATAGTAAATACTGTTTTCATTAGTGTAGTCGTATCTCTGTTTTTATGAGTATGTACTAAAACAGTATTCGTGACAAAAAAAAAGGTACTAAAACAGTATATATTTGACTACACTAATAAACAATAATTTATCACAGTATGTAATTATCAATACTATTAAAAGAGAATAAGTCCTAAAAAATCTACTTATACAAGTTGTTTGGACCCTTTCATTAGATTAACATTTTTTGGTCTTCCCTTATATTTCTCTAACTATATAAATACTATTTCTCTAACTATATAAATACTTTATAATTTAAGTGAACTCATTTATTACTTTCCATAATCTACTACATAATTACTCTAACAATAAATCTCTATATACTTTTAATATATTTAATATTTTTACATAAATTGGAAGTTAAAAAGCTTTGGTGTCAAATATTCAACTACGAAACATTGATTTAGTTAATTACAAGCAATCAATTATTAAAATATGATATTACCTTTTTATACATGAACTAAATGATTAATTGTATATATAAAAATAAAATGGGTTGGAGATTTTAATAGTATAGATGTTTATTTATTTTACAAATTCTAACTATGCATATGATACGTTTTTATTTAATTTTAAATGTATACTATCCTACAATTTAAATATCAGATAGTTTGAATATCTTCAATATTTTGAATAGAAAATATTNGGAGATTTTAATAGTATAGATGTTTATTTATTTTACAAATTCTAACTATGCATATGATACGTTTTTATTTAATTTTAAATGTATACTATCCTACAATTTAAATATCAGATAGTTTGAATATCTTCAATATTTTGAATAGAAAATATTCGGGTAATTTATTTTTGCCTAATTTGGTTTAAATAATATTTCAGGATATTTAATATTTAAATATTATATATAATTAATATTTTAGGTATATAATTTATATTTTAAAAATTTTAAATACCCATTTGGTTCTCGGTTCGGTTTCTATTTTTCGGTTCCAGAAAATATATGATATGATCGATTATTTATGAAATTTGGTTTAATTTTTATTTTTTTTTCAGTTTGATACGATTCGGTTCACCTGGAAAAATGTATAACATATACATTATGTTATACAAAAATTCATTTAGAAGAATTTGATTTATTTCAAAAATAAACCCGCGCTTTTTAAGCGCGGGTCAAAATCTAGTTGTGTGTTTATAATAGAACTTATGTAACCCTTTAAAAAGTAGAAAAAGATAATGAGAAAGGAAAAGTAGTTCTTTATTAATATCCGTAATTGATCTTCCTCGTCATACCCAGGTTTCTCTCCCTGTAATTATGGAGTTCATAAGCAATCATTCAAAAAATAATATTTTAAAAGTTTCAAAATAAGATTCGAAATAGTATAACGACAATGGAAAGGTACAATTCCTCAAAAAAATAATGTTTCGAACAATTTATCGACTTCATATTCAAAAGGGAAGAGTTACAATGACCAAAAATAATAATAATAATAATAATAATAATAATAATAATAATCTTTTCACTTTAAAATTTTCAAAAGCACAAATTTAATATCAAAAATATTTTTTAAAAATAAATAAATGGGAGATTGATCTATATATTAGATATCCAGATTATGTCTTTATGGCTATCACAATTTTCTTGAAATTTTTGGACTTATAGACAATTTATTAAAAATGTTAGTAATTTTTTTTTTTGGATTTGGGGGTCTTTTTTAAATAAATTTTGGAATTTATATCTATAAGAAATTTCAAAATTTTGGGAGATTATAAACGAATGTTTCATCAGGCTTAACTCATGACCAGTCCACAAATACATGGCCGACTCTAAATTTTTGGAAATTAAAACTATTTAGTATATCAATTTAAACTTCTAGAAATCCAAAACAAATATTTCCTTTGGATATGTCATATGACCGGCTTTGCACAAAAAAAAAAAAATCTAAAACACTTACGGATAATTATTTAGGAACATATCCTTTTACACAAAAATGAGATGGCCAGTGTTTTTCTTTGCAATTTTGAAGATTTGATTTATCGGCTAGTACCGTAGATTAATCATTTCTGATTCAACTCACAATATTTACTTCCTTTTGGAAGGATAGAGCTTAACATGGCACTATGGTTGTACCAAATTCTAGTTGGACTAATCAATACATATTCAAATATACAACTAACTAAATATCCTCAAGGTCAGGCTTCTCTCACGTAATTATGAGGTTCACAACGCAGCAACGCCAGCAAATAATCATCGCGATACTTACAACCCTTTATGCATGAAGATAATAATAGTAAATATCTTTATTACCACAATATCCTACTTTCTTTTGAAAAACAAGAGGCAATGCAAATGAGACGACTAATGCGTATATGACACACATACATGAATGTAACTATTTTAAATAATAAAGTTTATATTCATGTATCGTTTTCATAGACCTTTCATACTATTCCAAACTTTAAAATATGGGAATGCATATCCCACACTCTACTGTTTTAAAGAGAAAATATCTAATTTTATAGTTTTAGCTTTTTTGGAAATATAATTTGAATCATATATGGACCGGACAAAAGCAGCTTACGTTAAAGATATGAACCGGACAATAAGCTTTCCCACCAAGAAACCTTAGCTTCAATCAAATGAGTTATTGGATATGATTGAGTTATTAATATACTCAACCAATTTTCTTTTCGCAAGTTTTATAAATAATATTATATATACACACACTCATTTGCATCAGTTTCACCTCGGCCCATACCTCTTTCAGAACCAAAAAGATGAAAATCTTATCTCAAATCCAAATCATTTTTCTCTCCATTGCTCTTCTTCTCTTCATTACATCCTCAGCAACTCCATCAACATATTCAAATCAAACCAACTTAGATTACATCAAAACATCATGCAACCTCACACACTACAAAACCCTTTGCTACATCTCTCTATCTCCTTACGCCTTAGCAATAGATTCCAACCCTCAAAGACTCGCCGTCACCGCCCTTAATCTCACCCTCTCCTCCGCCAAATCTGCAGCTAAGTTCATCAAGAACATTCCTCAGGGCAGAAGCGGTCTAACACGTTTCGAAGCGGGTGCGGTTGCTGATTGCGTGGAGGAGATTGGAGACTCGGTGAGTGAGCTCCACGATTCAATAAGAGAGTTGGATTCGATCAACTACGAGAATAGCTCAAAATTTGAGATGGTTATGTCGGATGTTAAGACATGGGTTAGTGCTGCTCTCACTGATGATGACACATGTATGGATGGTTTCAACCAAGATGGTCGAGCCAAAGCGGCCGTGAAAGATTTGGTTCGGCGACATGTCGTAAAGGTTGGTCGGATGACTAGCAACGCGCTTGCTGTCATTAATATGTACGCATCCACACATTAGAAATGATCATAAATGTTCATATGGTCTTACACAAATTTGTTTAATAACTTTATTTGGCAAAATTGCTTATTTTCATGTTTATATGTATACTATGTACCTTGTTATAGGTATTGTGGATTTTCGTGTATACTTTAATAATCTTGTAATGAAATATTTGTATAATTTTGCGTTAGTTTAGTTTTGGGATGGTATATTAGAATAAATAATATCTGTTAAGAAGAATAAAAATATAAAGTGGTGAAAAGTCAAGAGATTGTTAGGCTGTTTTGGGCTTAATGAGCGGGCTAGACGAGACGAAAACAGATTTGAAGTTTTTTTAAAAAGATAACTTGATTTAACCGATCCAAATGGACCTTTTCAAACCTGATTGGAAAATCGTAATACCGAACTACAATTTCTAGTTGTAGTAAATTTCTATTTGTAAACTTCATATTCATATTTTGAAATACAAAATTTTAAATATCAAATCTACAGTTTTAAAAATATTGATTTTAACTATTTATAATTGATTTTAGTTATATCTATACTATTATTTAAGAAGTAAATTTGCTTATTTGTCAATTTCTCCATAAGTTTAGGTAAATTTGTTTATTTATCATATTTTTAATATTTGTATATAATTTATTTTAAATAAAACGAATTTATATGAATATATCATATTTTTAGTAAATAAGATAATTCTTTTGAATTAAGTTGTTATCTTGAAATATATTTTTATATATAAAACTTAAATTTCAAATTCAGATATAAACACTATTATATTTAGCTAAAACGAATTTATATTAATAATTTAATATTTAAATATAAATAAAACGAATTTATATTAATAATTTAATATTTAAATATAAATAAAACGAATTTATATTAATAATTTAATATTTTCCTAAAATAAGATAATCATCAAAACAAATGTTAACTGAAATTAGGTTATAACGAGGACATTTTGGCTTTGAAAATCACATCCAAGGGTTCTACAGACGATTACTTGTGGTGTTGGCTAATTCTTTATTTTGCTTCTCTCTCTTTCTCTTCGTTCTTGTATTTCTTTTTGGCCTGAGAAATATAAGATTAATTGTATTTCTTTACAATTATTTGAAAAGTGAATTTGTGGATTTATCTCCATGATCCTAGGTAATTTTGATCATTTATCATAATTTCTATAATTTTGTTTATTATTGATTATATGATCTCTGATTCGGTCACCCAGCAGTCTGACAACCCTTCAGTAACCCAGGATGACCCCGAGGTCCACCAAGCGGGACAGCGGAGTGTGATCCTTAAGCAATTGGAGGTTCTCGCTCATCTCTTGGGATCCATATCATCTGAATATTTTTTTTCCTGTTACATTAGCATAGCTAAATATTAAAACTAGTATACTATTATTTAAGAAGTAAATTTGCTTAGTTGTCATATTCTCCATAAGTTTAGGTAATTTTGTTTATTTATCATATTTAATATTTATGTATAATTTATTTATAAATAAAACAAATTTATATGAATATATCTATTTTGAAAAAACAAGATAATGCTTGTGAATTATGTTGTTATCTTGAAATATATTTTATATATTAAACTTAAATTTTAAATTAAAATATAAAACTTACAATATTTATTATATAACTAAAAAAATTATATTAGTAATTCTATATTTTCTAAAATAAGATAATTCTTATGAATTATTTTGTTATGTTGAATATATATTTTCGTATTATAAAACTTGAAATTAAGATATAAAAATATATTATTAATAATTAAATAGAAATCACCAAAACAATTAATTAAAAAGTGAATTTGTTGATTTGTCTCTCTCATCCTAGGTAATAGGGGTGGGCGTTCGGGTACCCGTTCGGGTTCGGATCGGGTATTTCGGGTTTTCGGGTATTTCGGTATTGGGGTTTAGAACCCATTCGGGTATTTTTACATATCGGGTCGGGTTCGGATATTTTTAGTTCGGAATCGGTTATTTCGGGTCGGTTTCGGATATTTAGATTTTGAAAGAAAAATTTCAAATTCTTTATTACTTAAGTTTCATGTATTTTAAATTTAACTATTAACTTAACTGTTTTAAAAATGTTTAATAAGTTAGACGATTAATAAGTTTGAAAATAAATTATTGAAATTAAAAATCATTATTTTGGTTGTTATTTTCGAATTTTGAATGCAAATTTTGTTTAAAATATCAAATAAGAAGCTTAATATGAATTTTAAATGAGTAATAAATCATTTTTTACAATTATATGTATATTATCTGATATTAAACTATATATAACATTAATATAAATATTTTTAATAAAATGAGATAAATAAACTAGGAATAAATAGGTATATATACATATGTTCGGTTATCTTCGGATACCCATTCGGGTTCGGGTATTATCCGTTCGGGTTCGGATATCCAAACTCTCCTAACTTAATACCCGTTCGGGTATTTTGCTACTTCGGTTCGGATATTTCGGGTCGGGTTCGGGTACGAGTTCGGGTATTGGGTAGATATTGATCAATTTTTAGAATTTCTCTAAATTTTTTATTATTGATTATATAATTAAAACTAATTTATATTAATAATAATATATTGTAAAAATAAGTTAATTATTATGTATTATGGCGTTATCTTGAAATATATTTTTCTGTTATAAAATTTAAAATTAACATGTAAAAAATCTATACTATTACTTAAGAAGTGAATTTGATGTTTGCTGATTTGTTATGTTTTTAATGTTTTTAGATAATTTTGATAGTTTTTCATAATTTCTATAATTTTATATATAATTTATTATATATTTAAAAAACAATTATAGTAATAGTATCAGATTTTAGAAAATAAGATACTTATTATGTATTAAGTTGTTGTCTTGAAAATACATTTTCTATTACAAATTTAAAATTAAGATATAAAAAGTTGTAGCTATTCTATAATTAAAATAAATTTACACTAATAATATTATAATTAAAGAAAATAAGGTAAATCTTATGTATTATGTTTTCATCTTGAAAATATATTTTATATTATATAACTTAAAAGTAAAATAGAAAATTATCTATTATTAATTAAATATAAATCACCACTCAAGCAAAATTATTTAAGAAGTGAATTTGCTAATTTGTTAGGTTCTTCATGATTTTAAGCAATTTTCTTTATATGTCATCATTTCTATAATCTTATATTTAACCAGATATAATTATTATATAATTAAAAAAAATTAACATATTTTATTTTTAGAAAATAAATAACTTATGCATTATATTATTATCTTGAAAATATTTTTTTCTATTATAAAATTTATAATTAAGATATAAAATTATAATTAAATATAAATTAAGTAAAAATATTTTTTTATAAATATTATATATTATAATTAAATATAAATCAAACAAAATGGGTATAGAAATATATTCTTTTAAATATTTCTTATGTTTGTGTTTTGTCATTTATTTGATGTTTGATTTGTACTTTTTGAAAACATAAGTAATAAATTAATGAAACATCAACGAATAAATATTCATAAGAGAATTATGCCCGCAAGTGCGGTCAAAACACCTAGTTTTACATATTTAAAGATAATTACGACGAATTTAGGTGAAAAGATAAAAAACTAAACCAACTGATATCCAAGTTTTTTTTCAAAAATTGGTTTTAAAATTAACTACACTTATAAAATATATAACTAGAAATTGATCCGCACGCCCGTGCGGGTGTTAAGTTTTATATTTAATAAATTAATATTTTGTTTTCAATAATTGAAATTATATACTTTATATATGTCATCATATAATTAATTGAGTATTTTTAAATCCTATAATTAGAACTGAATCTGAATCAAATCAGGTAATCTGATTACTTTTGGTTATTTGGTTATTTTTAGTTTGGATTCAAAATATGTGAATTGAATCGGTTAATATGATTATTTTTTGTACAAATATTCGAACATGTTTTAGATACATTAGTTTTTTGGATACTTTTATATTATATACATTAGAACTGAATCCAAATCAAATCCATAATAAGGTTACTTAGGTTATTTGGTTATTTTTAGTTTAGATTTAAAATACATGAATCGAATAGGTTAATACGATTATTTTTGGTACAAATATCTAAACAACACATTATTTTTTGGATATTTTAATTTTCATACATCAAAACTGAATTCATACGAAGTTTATATTGATGCAAGATAATAACTGAAGTAATTATTTCATTTGATTATGAAAGTTGTTTAGACCTTGTAGTATTTTAACTCCCTTTTTTGGGCTCCCGTTTTTTCTCTTCTCGTTAAGATATTCCACCTAAGGGAAGTAGAGCTTTTGTCCAAGATTTTCTCCTTTTCTGGCGAAAATAACATAAAATTTCCATATTTTGGTTGAGATTCTACCAAATCTTCTAGTTTTTCCTGTTTTTTCTAGGGTTCTTGGTTAGCCGCCTTCTTACTCTAAGAAAAAGGAAACACAAGGCTACTGCGTTACCAGTTTTTTAGCAACGATGGTGAACATTGACCGTGCTTTCGAGTCGATGTCGTTGGAGGAAGAAGAAGTTCCCTTTGACTTGCCTGATCTTCCTCAGTTCAGTGCAATAGAAAGGAACAAATTAAGTATTTTGGGGCGTACTCTTAACCCGGAGAAGCAGAGTATTGCTGACCTGATTAGATATATGCCAAGGAAGTGGCAGGTGATTGGAAGGGTGCACGAGATTGCCCTGTCGAAGACTACTTTCCAGTTCATCTTCAAGTATGAACACGACTTAGAGGAGGTTCTGAGGAAGAGGGTTTGGACCTTTAACGATTGGAGTATAATAATTGACCGGTGGACAGAAAATCCAAATGAGGATTTTTTAAAGTATTTATTGGTTTGTGTCAGGATTCGTAATATTCCGGTGAATCATTACACTGAAGGGGCTATCACCGCTTTGGGGGAAATCATTGGAAAGGTTGATGAAGTCGCCTTTGATCCAGACAAGCCGCAAATAAATGATTATGTTCGGGTGCGGGTTTTCTTTGATGTATCGAGACCAGTTCGACGATCAAAGGAAGTAAACTTGCGAAAAGGTGCTGGATCGGTTACGATTTGGTATGAATTTGAGAGGATCCAAAAACGCTGTTACAATTGTCAGCGGCTGACGCACGACAAGGATAAGTGTCCTC